CATTTTGTGTTGCCTCCCTCCCCCCCCCCCCCCCAATTTCCCTTTAATGTATGGCAAGAAACCCCCCCCCCCCCCATTTACCTTTAATGTATGGTAAGAACCCCCCACCCCCTTTTTTCCCCCTTCTGCCTGGGTTAATATGTGAGAGCACTTGTCATGATACACTTTGTGTTAAAAATTAATTCAGGTAAACAGGCACACAGAACTAGAGAAAGAATAATTCTGTATTCACTTTGAAGTTCCCCCCACTTAGGGTTAGGAAAATGGCAGACTACACCTGGTGTTCTTGCATGTTGTAATCTTCTTTACTCTCACTGGCTGTAAACTACAACCGGAACCATCACTATTGGAACTCTGCGCTGGCTGCTGAAGATGAGGACAGAGTATGCATGGGAATGCCCTGAGTGCTGTGATGTCAATTCTTAACTCAACTCAACACCACTCAGCTGTAAACTCCACTTCTCGACGTGTCTTGTTCCAGAAGCTGAAATTTCTGTGCACATCCATTTTACAAATTGCACTTGTTTTTAAATGCAGACTGTTGGTTCCTTACCTGTCAGGCAGATACACTCTTGACTTTGAAGAAAATATTCCTGATTAATCGACTCTTAGAACATGCTAGTTAGGGGGCATTTGGTCTGTTTTGTCCTCACACAATGGGGCCCTGGAACCCACATATGGAATCATGTTGTAATTGATCTTTGTGTGTGTTGTGCGCGCGCGCGCACGCACACACACACACGCACGCACATACACACACACACACACACACACACACACACACACACATATATATATATATATATATATACACTCTCTCTCTCTCTTTCTCTTTTCTCTTTCCCCCTCCCCCCCCCCTCCCCCCCCCCCCCCCCCCCCCCCCACCACTTTTGCACTATTTTGTTGATTGCATGATGATATTTAAAGCAGTTTATCTGTAATAGAATAATAGAAATGTATTATTATTTTGCTTTCTGAAAATGCTGCAGTGTTTTGTCTTATTTTCGTGTTTGTTTCCTATGAAGTAGATTAAAACACTGCTTGTTTCGTATGCATTATGTTTGGGAAAATTGTGTTACATTGTAAAACTCACATGTTTGCTTTAATATCACATTGTACGTGTTGTAAAATATTCTAGTAGTATTATGTTAAAATGTGTTTTTATTATGTAAATAAAAAAATTTTTTCGCATTTAAATTGTGCATGTGATAATTTCACATTTTCAGGCTTTTTGCCAAGCAGCAATAATCTTGCATGTTTATTTTATTTTCAGGAGCCTTGTCCGAATGTTGTCATTGTTCTACCTTTTATACCAAGACTGGGTTTTGCATTATTAATTCATGAAATATATTTTGTTTTTTTTAGATTCTATTCCAGCTTTTGTTCAAAAAGCCACATTTACATACCTACACATGCATTAAGTTTTTGCCAGGTTATTAATCATATTTTGTAAAATTGTATTCTCATTTCCAGGTTTGTTTCCAGATTTTAAACTGTTTTTCATATTCATATATGTGTACATATTTACACAATAACTCACACACGTACATAAATTATGGTTAGGACATCAGTAGAACGGACAATAATAAGTTATGCAGAATATTAGTTTCTATTAGTAAAAAATATTTCTTAATCTTATAAAGAGCAGATGCTGGTGAATTAGTAACAGTGTTTTAAATAGTTTATAACAAAAGGCTGCTGACAAATTTGTTTCACATTGTTCTGGTTATTGTTTTTTACTGCTAACTTCAGAACTGAGATAAATGTAGCACTTGGGCTGGCATACTTGCCTGCTAGTCCAGGGGTCATGGGTTGAATCCTTAGCAAGTTAGGGTTTGACCTAAGCTCCCAGCTGACACAGACTAAAATGGTACTGGGAAGTGTCATTGGAAGTAAAGGCTGCTGGCGTGGCATTTATCACATCACTTGTTGAGTGTTGATTGGTGTAAAACAAATATGGGACTAGGATGATAGACTATGATGTTATGTCCAACATGCCTGAAGGCATTTAAAAAAAAAAAAAAAAAGATTCACTGAACTCATTTTCTTTCCTCCCCATTGAGTTTCCTAGTCGTTGATCTGACTCATTCTCTTTCTTCTTCTTCTTCTTCTTCTTCTTCTTCTTCTTCTTCTTCTTCTTCTTCTTCTTCATCTTCAGCATTCCCAGCTCTTGTGGTTTATCGATGCAGATCTCACCCGCCTCCACTCATATCTCTGGTGGCCTTCTCTTTCCACTTGGTGACACCAAGTGTTTGCAGGTCTGTGTGGACATTATCTCTCCATCTTCTTGGTCAGCCTCATGGTCTACGACCATTCATCTCTCTTGTGTATAGTTTTTTTACCTCTCTGTCATCTGACATTCTCTCAGTATACCCCAACCATTTCAGTCTCTCATGATGCCGGTGATCACTGGTGATTTAAACAGATTATGAATTTCATTATTGCTTCTCACACTCCATTCCCCGCTGTTTGTATCCTTGATGGTTGCAAAGATTCATCTTAAGAGTCCGTTTTCAAAAATGTGTAACAAGGCTTTACCTCTTTATTTGTGCTCCAGCTTTCAGAGCAACATAGAACAGTTTGATCAGGTTCACTTACTTACTTACTTAGTCGCTCCTCTTCTACCTTGGGGTGTAGAGGTTTGCCAGAGAGATCGCCAGACGTCTCTATCAGCAGTTTTCTTTCTGGCTTTGTTCCATTCCAGTCCTCTGTCAGTCAGGGACTGTCGGATGTTGTCTTCCCAGCGCACCCTGGGTCGTCCCGGAGGTCTGGTTCCCTGGTTCTTAGCCTCCCATGCTTGCCATGGTGGCCGATTTTCTCCCATTCTGCACACATGTCCAAACCATCGTAACTGTGACTGATCCACTCGGGTTAGTAAGGGCTGGGTATCAAGATCTTGACGTATTGTCTGATTGCGGACTTTGTCCCTTCTTGTCACTTGGACCACCTTTCTCAGGTATCTCATTTCCGAGGCCTGCAGCTGGCTTCTGTGAGCTGTTGTCATTGCCCATGACTCACACCCATAGGTCAGGACTGGTACATAGGTAGAGCGGTAAACAGCCATTTTCGTTCTCTTGCCAATTTCTCTTTTGCTAAGAAACCCTCGGTTTATGGCCTGGAAGAGTCTCCCAGCAGCTGCTTTTCGTGTAGCCAGCTCAGTCTTAATGCCTCCATTTTGGTCTAATACAACTCCAAGGTATTTGAACTGGTTAACCTGCTCCAACGCATACTGACCCATCATGATCTGGTGTTTCTTCTCCTCTCTTGAGATCACCATGGTTTTAGTTTTGGAGACACTGATGGTCATCCCTTTCTTTTCAAGCTCTTCCTTCCAGACAAGTAAGTTGGACTGAAGGTGTGCCTCTGATTTAGCTATCAGGGCCACATCGTCTGCAAAAGCCAGCTCTGATATACAGATTGGTCTCATCTTCCAGTACCCTACAGAGTACTTCTTTGTCTTCTCCTTACAGGTCTTGATGACATCATCCATCATAAGAATGAAGAGGTAAGGTGAGAGAATATCACCTTGTCTAACACCGCTGGTGGTCTTAAATTCTTCTGACTTTTGGTCTGCTGTTCTTACATAATTTCTGCACTTTTTGTAGAAACTCTGTATTGCACTGATCAGGGGTGCTGGGATGTTTTTCCCTGCCAAGCAGTCCCAGAGCTTGTTCCAGGGTACCTTGTCAAATGCCTTTTCCAGATCCAAAAAACATAAGTGAATCTCACTCTTATATTCCAGGGCTTTTTCACTCATCTGTCTCAGTGTGAAGATAAGGTCTTGAGTACTTCGGTTTGCTCTGAAGCCGCACTGGGCCTCGTCCAGCTGATCAGGTTCATATTTCTGTAAATTGTTAACTACTAGCCCAGCTGCAGTCACCCCACTTAAAGCTTGTTGTTGTTGTTATCGATCCAGCTTTTACTATAGTGCATGCTGTATCACTTTTCACTCGGTGTGACAGCACTTTGTATTTTTTGTCTATGTTGAGTCATTTTTGTATGTGACTGTATTTTTTTTAATGAACATTAATTATTATGGTAATTAGGAAATGTGTTGCCCTACTTTATGTTGAACTGGCTATAGAAAATAAAAGCAGTCCCAAGGCAGATACTGCCGTAGTGAGGGGAAGTTCTCAGTCTTTGCATATACTAGTTAGCAGCCTACAAGGACAGATATCAAGTCAGTAAAAGACACTTCATCGTAAGTGTAAATTCAGTAAAAAACACTTCATCTAAAGTGTCAAGTTAGTAAAAGACATTTCATCGAGAGTGTAAATTCAGAAAAAGACACTTCATCGAGAGTGTAAAGTCAGTACAAGACACTTTAGATGTCCTATTTTTCTTAGCGTTCACCAGCTGTAATCTCCCAGGAGAAGTTCTGGTTGTTTGTCCACTTGTGGACTTTTGGTCTCATTCTTGGTTTTTTTTGGTGTGTATGCACATCAGTTTTATAGATCTGGCTTATTTGTATGCAGACTGTTGGTTCTTAACAGGGATCTCTGACTCTAAAAGAAAAATTAACTAATGGCCTTTCACAAAATGCTTGTTAGAGTAGCAGACCCCCCCTCCCCCATTTTCAATCAAATGGTGCCCTGGAACCCACACGGCTACGAGCGAACAACCTTTTTTTTTTCCAAAGGGCGGGAATATAAGGTTACAAGCAAAGATACTTTTTTTTTTTCAAAAGGCGGGAATATAAGGCTACGAGCAAAAAGACTTTGTTTTTAAAAGTGCAGGACTATAAGGTTATGAGCAAAGAGACTTTTTTTTTTCAAACAGCTGGAGTATAAGGTTACGAACGAACAAACTTTTCACAGGCTCAAAATTTGGGCATGCAGGCCTGCCTACCATTCTGCCCATCCAGTCTCTCTCCTTTTATACATCATTTCCTTGATTAGTACAAGGTGCATGTACCTCCAGTTAATGGCGTTTCACATACTTGTTAAGGTGGTAATTGTATTTCGCCCCATAAAGATAAGGCCCTGGAGTCGGAAAAAAAGGACACTTTCACTTTGGGAGGTGTGTTGATGTTAACAATAATCTTGGACACTTTCACACTGTGAGATGTGTTGATGTTAACAATAATCTTGGACACTTTCACACTGTGAGGTGTGTTGATGTTAACAATAATCTTGGACACTTTCACACTGTGAGGTGTGTTGATGTTAACAATAATCTTGGACACTTTCACACTGTGAGGTGTGTTGATGTTAACAATAATCTTGGACACTTTCACACTGTGAGGTGTGTTGATGTTAACAATAATCTTGGACACTTTCACACTGTGAGATGTGTTGATGTTAACAATAATCTTGGACACTTTCACACTGTGAGGTGTGTTGATGTTAACAATAATCTTGGACACTTTCACACTGTGAGATGTGTTGATGTTAACAATAATCTTGGACACTTTCACACTTTGAGTGTGTTGATGTTAACAATAATCTTGGACACTTTCACACTGTGAGGTGTGTTGATGTTAACAATAATCTTGGACACTTTCACACTGTGAGATGTGTTGATGTTAACAATAATCTTGGACACTTTCACACTGTGAGATGTGTTGATGTTAACAATAATCTTGGACACTTTCACACTGTGAGATGTGTTGATGTTAACAATAATCTTGGACACTTTCACACTGTGAGGTGTGTTGATGTTAACAATAATCTTGGACACTTTCACACTGTGAGGTGTGTTGATGTTAACAATAATCTTGGACACTTTCACACTGTGAGATGTGTTGATGTTAACAATAATCTTGGACACTTTCACACTTTGAGTGTGTTGATGTTAACAATAATCTTGGACACTTTCACACTTTGAGTGTGTTGATGTTAACAATAATCTTGGACACTTTCACACTTTGAGTGTGTTGATGTTAACAATAATCTTGGACACTTTCACACTTTGAGTGTGTTGATGTTAACAATAATCTTGGACACTTTCACACTTTGAGGTGTGTTGATGTTAACAATAATCTTGGACACTTTCACACTTTGAGGTGTGTTGATGTTAACAATAATCTTGGACACTTTCACACTTTGAGTGTGTTGATGTTAACAATAATCTTGGACACTTTCACACTGTGAGGTGTGTTGATGTTAACAATAATCTTATCTATGTGATTTTCTCAAACAGGGTCAGAGTCACGTTGTTCCAGCTCACAGGGGGATGACGAGGTGCAGAGCCACCGGTGAGAGACTGATCACTTGATTCTGTGTTTGAAGTGTTGTGTCCACTCATGATCATTTCCTGCTGGTGAAGTATACTGTTTGTGCTTACAGTCAGTCCCCTATGAACTCCAGGGTCCATTGAAAAGGGGGGTTCAGGAAATGATATGAATAGAGCCCTGTGAATGCATGTGCTAGGTGCTTCTTCTTCTTAGCTATCTAATTCTCATTCTTCTGTGTTTAACTGCTGTAAGCTCCGGTGGAAAGTCCTGTTTCTTTGTTCATTTCAACTTTGGCTGTACGTCTGTTTAACTGGCTTATTTGTGTGCAGTTGGTTGTTCCTAGCCGCTCGAGCACATGCTCTCAACTTCGAAGTAAGTCCACAGTTCTACGACATGCTTGTTGGGGAGCCAGTGGGTCTGTTCTAGTTTTATCCACAATTTGGCCCTGAAACCCACACGGGGTAGGGCCCTCTTAGCGTTCACAAACTGTGAATCTCAGTGGAAAGTTGTGGTTGTTTCTGGACTTTAGTTTTGTTTGCATGTTCATTTTACAGATCTGGCGTTTCTTCATGCAGACTGTTGGTTCCTTCCCTCTCAGGCAGATGTACTGCGATTAAGAAAGACCTCTGTTAGGTGCCTTTTATTACATGCGTGTTCAGGGGCATTGTATCTCTTCTCTATTCCCACAAACGAAGGGGTCCTCTAGAACCCACACTGGGAAGTACTATTAAATACAAGGGATAGAATCATATATCACATGCTAAAAGCATAGACAAAAGGTACACAGCGATACAAGAGCATGGATCTTCACAGCACAAAGGATTGGAAAAATAATAAAAGAAGATAGCGGCACTTACCAGACAGCAGTGTCAAACATAACCATGGAGATAACCGCTGCTTCCAGAGCACTTGCATGGGTGGCAGAACAAATGGCCACATGTGCGGTAATAATTTCAGACTCCTTGAACATCCTTTAGAAAATTGCATCAGCTAAAAATAACAAAAACCAGATCTGTTAAATGGATATGCATGTAAAACTCAAGATCTGGATCAGGACCAAGGTCCAGTGGTGGATGAACAACCAGAATTTTCTTCCAGTGTGTGCAGCCGGTACACACTAAGAATAACAAGAACAAATGTAACTGATTTCTGTTGTAGTCTTAAACTTCTAAATTAAAAACCATTTCAATCATGATTTCTCAGGTTAATGATGAAGAAGGAGATCCACAAGAGGACCCTGCTGGGGTATGATGGGCAGGAGCACACCAGTGTGTATGAGGATTCCCAGATACAGCAGGACACTGAACCACCTGAGGAGCTTCGCGAGTCTATGCAGGAGATCATCAATCAGTTCATGCAGATGGCACCTGAGCCCACGAACCTTCATCTGCTGGATGAGTCTGTGGAGGAGGAGGTCTGAGGAGGACAAGGTCTAAGGTGTACGAGGTCTGAGGAGGACAAAGTCTGAGAAGGAGGATATCTGAGGGAGTGTAATCGTTTGCCAAGATATTTTTGTGTGTTTACTTGACTCTTTCAATTGTTGTTTATATCTGCTTTGAAGTTATTTTATCAAAAATTGTAGAAGAAAATTGCTTTCATTTATCTCTTTGCATACTGCAAGCCACATCAAGTGGCATGGAAAAAGAAAAGCTGTGTGTTTCAACATTAGAAATACAAATATGTTTAAACCAGTGTAATCTAAATGTGAATTTGAATAATTGTGATGCAAACAATAGATTGCACAATTTATTATCCGGCATGCTTGTAACATATAAATTGCACAATTTATTATCCGGCATGCTTGTAACATATAAATTGCACAATTTATTATCCGGCATGCTAATATACTTCCTTACGTCCATTTTAGGACGTAATTTTTTTGTTATTTGAAGCCCCACTCTGGCTTTTGCCAGGGGCCGCAATATAGGCAGGCCATAAATATGGCCAATTGTCTGAACGCGGTTTCTGGGACCTCTCCACGGTGATCCTCATCCACATGGTGGCACTTTGTGTCATCGGGTGTTTATCGCTTGTGTGATGTCCTGGTGGGGTAGAAAGTCAGTCATCCGGCATGCTTGTAACATATAAATCACAGACTACAGGTATAAATCACAGACTACAGGTATAAATCACAGACTACAGGTATAAATCACAGACTACAGGTATAAATCACATGTTACAGATAATAAAACCACACACTGCAGATATAAATCACACACTACAGAGGTTAACAGTATTCACTTTAGATCTGCATCATCACTGATTATTTTTGAAAAGACTTTGACCCATAGATCAACCCAGACTAAAATGGTCAATAGAAAATGTTGTGGGAAATATATTTTCTTCCTCTTCTTCTTCTTTTCAACTGCTTGTAAATTCCTGTAGAAAGTCCTGGTTGTTTATTCACTTCTAGACTTTAAATCTTGTTCAAAGACTTGCATGTGCATCCATTTTACAAATCTGGTTTATTTCCGTGCAGACTGTTGGTTTCTGCCTCGGGTGGATATAGTCTAACTCAAAAGGCATAAATCCTATCTACACTGCATTGGCCAGGTGATTTTTATCTGCATTGGCCAGGTGATTTTATCTACATTGGCCAGGTTTGGAACCTGTTTCTAGAATGCCATGGAGAGATCTAGATAGTTCTTGACCTGTGTGAGCCCTGGTCCTGTTACACCACCAGCATCCCACCCTGGTAAGTAAAGGCAGCCGGCAAGTTACAGCAAAACATCCTAGGTCATACTTTGTGCAATCTATTTTGTGTTCATCTCCGTTATTCAAATAGTATGTTTATTTCAAAAGTCTTTCCTGAATAATTGTTGTGCTTCTTATTTCCAGCTGAATTTATGTGTGTATTTGTTACTGTGTATGAATTGTCTGTGCAGATTATATGTCTGTCAGTAGCGCCTTTGTATCTGACATCCTTAACCAGTGGTTTCCAAACTTTGGCTGGGAACTGTGTTTGGAGACTGGAAATTTATGCTGAATGCTACTTAGCAAGAAGTGAGAAAAAGATGCTGGCAGTGGATGGGACGTACTCTGAGAAAACGTGATTACAGTAAAACTAGCACTGGAATCCACATGGTCAAAGAATAAAGGCAGACCCAAAGAAATAAAAACATTCAGAAGGGATTTTGAGAGTGAAGTGAATTTTGCCATAGCAGAAGATAGTAGTCTGACATAAGTTGGTTGTGGGTCTATGCTCAGTTGAAGGATAAAAGAAGACGATTTTTGTTGAAGGTTTTATTCGCAATTTAAAATAGTATCATCATGACGCCAAATTCTTTGCATGATTTTGTCAAAGCTGAGACCCAGTCATTCGGTTTCAACAGATGTTATTTTCAGATCTGTCTTATAAAGCTTTTGACTGGTCCTCAGATAGTTGTCTTACAGGTAGTTTTTGTGATTGCTTTGTCTGTTCACTAACCTTCTGCTTGTCAGACTTGGGGCTCCGCATGTCGGTTTTGGAACCCCATTGTGTGAAAAACAAGAATAGGGCCTCCTAACAAGCATATCGCAAGAGTTGACTAATTAGGGGTTTTCTTTGCAGCCGGAGTGCATCTTTCTGAGAGGCAATGAACCAATAGACTACATACATGTAAGCCAATTCTGTCAAATGGATTTGCACACAACACTCAAGTTCTGGAACACAACAAGTCCAGAAATGGATGAACAACCAGAACTTTCTGCCGGAGTTTACAGTCAGTGAACATGAAGAAGAGGAAGAAGAAGACCACTAGAATAGTTCTTGAGGTAAAGGGGGTTGCTGCGTGGTAGGGAAATAACAAGAGGAGTGATGTGGAATCTCATGCATTGAATCTCTTTGTCCACCTGACCAGTCCCTGTATAGTTTTCTTCTCACTGTTTGAGAACCACTGGCCACAGGTGTGGGTCTATGAACCTGCTGCTTGAATGTGAACCTGTGCACTGTCAGCTGAACCATTATGTCAATGTTCTGGTATATTTATATATATATATATATTTTGTTTTTTAAATTATACTTCAACTTAATAACTTGGATAAATATAAAGCCAGATGTATGTGGAAAGTCTATGATTTAATATATTCACCATGCATAGAACTTGTAGCTGTAGCTCACCCTAAGGCAGTTGTTGTATGTGTTTATTGGTGGAATTGCATCGTTTCTGAAGGAAGGAAGAATCTTATGTTAATGAATCCCTTTGCTGCAAGAAGTCACAAATCTGGCACATCTGGATCAGTCCCGTAACTGCCAGTTACCTAATATTTCTACAATGCCGTTTTTGATATTTCTAGTTATTGCTATTGGCTGTGTTTGCACCTGCACAGAATTTAGGAGGTCAGAATGTAAGTTTACTAAAAATAGCATTTAAGGGAACAAAATGGCTATTTTACAGTAATTTAGCCATCATAATTTACCAACATCCTTAGTGTTAGCATTGTGACAACATCACAAGTCATATTTTGAGTCACCGAATGCATCTGTTTAGGCTCCAGGGAATGTATTCCATTTATTGCTTCACTGAGTTGTTTGTTGATTACTGCCTTAATTTATTTCCACACACAAACAATTGTTTACTGTAGAGAAGTACTTTGTTTTTAAATTTATTAGCAACCTGTGTAATGTGGTTGCTATTTACAGGAATTTTCTTTTGGAATTCCGGGGTTGATGGCGAGTTTTTTAAGCAATTTTGAGCAAAGGGGTTAAGAGATTTGCTGATGGAAATTGAAGACTTCATCGCTAGAGGAGTGATTAAGTGTACAGCTGTGAGAACAAATTCACAGCATATACCCACCACATAGAGAGTTTATGTAAATTTATATGACAAGACATCTGTAAAGTATTGAGGTGGAACTTGTTCTTAGAGTGTTTGTGCAAGCCAGGAGAATCATCATCATCATTGAGAGGCTCGTTCCTGTTTCTTCAGTTAGAACTAGCACATTCAAGGCACTCATTAACCTTTCAGTGATGAGGGTGCCAGCTCCATATGTAAATATTACTTTAGACCAACCTAATCATGTGTGGATAACAATGGGCAGCCTCTGTGTAGGTTCATCTCACTGTTTGGGAACTATTGTCTACAAATGTATGTGTCACGTAAGTGAAAAATAAAACCAGGCCTCCAGAATTGACAGGTTGTTGCCCAGACAACTAAGTTATGTCAGTAAAGTAAGAGAATCAATAAATATTGATCCATATTCCTGAACAGATAGATACTGGCTTGTGGAAATGACAAAATGTGTGTATGAAATCAGTCCTTATGGCTTCTCAACATTCTCTAAATCAGTGGTTCTTAAACTGACCGCGCCTCATGGCTTTTGTTCATTGTAAATTAGATGTCTGAATGTCATGCTTGTACATGCTAGAGCTTTGTTTGTAACCCTGTGCTGATATTTATACCAAGTTGGACACTGTAGCCTAGATGTTTTTGTAATTGCTACTTACTGGACTGTTATATTGGTTTTTATTTTAGTATTCAATGCAGTTTATGGATTTTCTGTAGATATAGCACTTGTTTCAATAGAGGGCCATATCATGGACGATGATTCGGTTCAAAAAGAAGAGTTGGAGGACATTTATGAATGTGTCACTGCTACATTTGTAACCTTCTTGTACACTTCTTCTTGGATGACAGTTTACTCTTAAGACATGGTTGATGGGGAGGCAGTGGGTCTATTCTTGTTTTTTCTCATAATGTAGCCTCGGAACCCACACATGGAAGTTCTGTGATTTGATTTCTTCAAGTGTCTGAGTGATTGCTAGGGGCCATTTTTCACTGAATGCTTTTGTTAGTCGGTTTAAAAAGCACTATTGAAGACAGATCGGTAGATGTACCATTGGTTTGTTTATTTTAGTTTCCAGATTCTCACATTTTAACATTCCTCGTTTATTTTTCTCATATTTGGACACACTGGCTTTTCTAATTTATTCTACTTATAAATATTTTAAGATCTCCATTACATTCTTGCCGTATCTGTGGGATATTTCCTTATTTGATGTGAATGAGTGATAGCAGAAATCTTTGGTACCTTATAAATATTATCTTTTTAATAATACATAGAAAATGGCCATAACATTTCTGTATTTTCTTTCTGATGACAAGTGATTCTGTTAATGTTTAACATGAAACTGATTCCATATTCCTGGAATAACAGCAGTTGAGTATTTATTTGAATGATTAATCAAACAATTTATTTATATTATGTTTTGAGTCACGTGAAATAAGAGTGAATCGCTGTTAAATTTCAGTTACTTTCTTAGGTATGTATCATTTTTTTTTCACACTAAAATAAAATGAGTAATATGTAACATATTCATACTTGAACATATCGATACTGTCAGAAACTGGAACATATTCTGACAGCCGAAAACTTAAACGAACATATCATAAGGAGCTAGAATATATACACACTGTCAGAAACTTGAACATTTCCAATCAG